TTTATCATAAAACTTTTGTATACTTGTATGACACTTTTAATTCTAAAACCGATTTATGATTAAATCGATTATTCACACAAAGAGGTGTCCTTGGAAAATTTCCTCAATCCAAAATAACATTTACCCTTTATTTCTTTTCAGGTTTCTTCTCAAGGTGTATTCAAAGACACAGAATGGTGTCTTATGGTTCTTTAGCCAATTTATTGGCTAATCACCCTGGTGTCATTGTTTGACTGCAAATTGTTTGTGGAAGAGAAACTCCACCAAGATCGAGAAAACGTGGACTGGTTCTGCTGCTATTGCTTCCCTTGTTGCTGCTTTGCGGTGAGTTTTTTTTATTATTTACAATTTAACAATGTTTGATTGACGCAAAATTGATACTTCTTAAGAAGTGCCTTGCATATTCTTCACCTTGAAATATTTATTTAAGGGGGTATTCTGATCTAGAATTAAAAAAGAACGATTTTGTTTTTGGAATATTATCATGGTTTGATTATTCAAGAATTTAAATTAAAAATTTAAAAAATATTTCCGGAGATATAGCAGTTGACCACGAGAATTCACAGTTTTTCTCGAAACTGTCTTTTTCGGTACGATACTCACGATTTCTCAACTCCTACCGAACCGATTTACTTGCAATTTTTTCTCTTCTTGCAATAGACTTCTCTTCAGTATAAACTACGTTCATATCCAAAATTCTGCTTTTACTACTATTTTTAAAAAATCGAGCTTATCAAAACAAGTTGTAAATTTGTGTTTGAGAGACATTTGCTATTGTGAAAAAAAAAGTTATTGTAACTCTTCATTATTATTACGATAGCGACGTTATTCAAATTATTATTTTTTTGCATATCTTCGAAAATCGAAAACGAAAATTTTTGTATATCTTCACGTTTCAGAGGTTTCTGAACCTCAGAAAAAATTGATGTGTGTGTGTTCTGTGTCCGGAATTTTCGTCTACGTTTTCGGGCGCACGGATCAACCGATTTGAATGATTCAAAAAGCAATCGATTCCTATTGATAGAGAGATGTGCTGATTAGTTTTTGGCAAAGGTAGATCCAGCTGTTACGGAGATACGGAGCAAATAGTGCAGAATAAATCGAGTTTTTGATGGATCAGAGTGTCGGATTTGATTGAACTAAAAAACGTTCAATTTGTAATGATTGGGAGAGAAGGTGATTAGTTTTGGCAAAGACAGGTTCCGCCATTTCGAAGATACAGAGCAAATGTGCAAAAAATGGGCAGTTTTTGAGAGAATTAAGCGGCCAATTTGAATGATCTAAAAAAACTTTCTGCTTGTATTGACAAAACAATTGCTTTTGAGGATAAAAAATTATTACATCTTTTTTTTACATCCATAAAATATTTTTGTAATTTCGGAATAAAAATTCAAAAAATTAACCAGGCTAAGCACAGTCTAGCGCCACTCTGGTACAAATGTTCACCAAGTGCGTTTAGACTGTTTATTTACTGGAGCACTTTTCCAATTTTGTGAAAACTATTGAAAAATGTGAAAATGCCGCCAGCTAAGCACATTATAAGTAGAAATGTCGCACAGAATATTTTGCAAATGCTTTTAGACTGTGACTATACAGGAGCACTTTTTCAATGTTGTGTAATTAGGCAACTATTTTTTTTTTAAATGGAATTCGAAATGAAACAACGATGTTAATGTTCGTGGAGATAAATTGATTTGATTTACATTTGATTTGCTCAGTTATAACAGATAGCAAAAATAATGAAAGTTACAGTATTTGTAATAATATATTTGCAAACGTTTAAAATTTCTCGAATATTTTATTACGGTACGGGAAGTTCCAGTAATTTGCCTTAAGGCACGATGCCATGCACCACTAGTTAAATTTTATTTTGTTTCATATATCTTCAAAACATCAATTAATAACTTGTAATTCTAGTATAAATATTGATTTTTTTCACGTCCTTTAAAAAATTGCATAAAATTTTTGTCTGTATACCAGAATACTTCCTTAAATATATTTGCAGTTCAAAAAGTTTGACTTACAACTAAATTTTAGTTTAGCAAGCTTAATATACTATTTGTATGATTCAAGTTCTCTACATTTCTACAATAATTTTCAGGAGTCCTTTTATACTTGCAAAGCCCTGTCCAACTCTCTGAATATTATCCTTTCGAACATCCAATTTCATACTATCCTGATATAATGTACGATAAAGTATTAGATTCTGTCGAATATACAAAAATGATAGCTCACGATGGAGCTAATGAACTTTCTGATTATTGGACGAAAGTTAAAGAATATTCTAATGATGCCACTCGATAATATGTGGAGCAAGGAGGATGATTTACCAATTTATAGTGCTTAAATAGAATGGATTTAATTAATATATATAGAGATTTTTAAGGGTTGATTTTTAGTTGTAGGATGAACAAAGTTCTCGTGGGGGGTTTTAATATAGTTAGGGTTACATTAGAGCATTTTAATTACAATATAATGTTTAAAACTGTAGTAACGAGCTGGTTAATACTTTTGATCCAATCATCGTAAAGACTTGAATATTTGATCTCTCTTTTTTTTTAAGCAATACGTACCCTTTTTGTAGATTATACATTTTATAAACGCAAACTAATATCTTAAAATACAAAAATAATGCTTAACATTTGCTCTATAACTTTCAAGGAATACTAAAATTTATTTTATATTGCACGAGGAAATGAATTCTAAATAATATATTCTAAGTTTATTTTGAGTACAAATTAAATTTAATATATTTTATATATTCTAGCTTCGCAATTATTTAATGTGTTGAAAATAATATAAATTTTAATTATAACTATTATCGAGTTAAGATTAACAATTATAAATTTATATATAATATATATATATATATATATATATATATATATATATATATATAATTTAAATAGATTTACATTTCACATATTCAGTTTTAGTACCAGCCAGGCATACTTTTTTTTTTTTTTTTTCCGGTAAATATGAACAAAACATATATATATATATATATATACTATATATATATATATAGATATATATATATATATTAGATTATTTTTTATTCGAGTCGAGGGATTGTGCATATTTTTTGTTACAAATTTTTATTGCTTTGACTTTAAAAAAAATATTGAAAATTATAAATATATAGAGATTATAAAAGATACAAATTATAATAATTATTAGCACTCTACTAAAAGCTTTGTGCACACCTTATAAAAAAATAGTTTTATAATATCAATATAACAATTTTTACTTCTTATTTATAATATAATAATTTAAAGTTGTTTGAATCTCTGTGCTTTAATTCATGTTTTGGTGTGTGCTTTTGCTTGATTTTACTTCTTGATTCTAGTTTTAAATTATTTCTAGAAATACATTATGAACGTACTAATATGGTATATAGAGTCTTTCACTAAACAGGATCGATTTACACATATATACACATTTTTATTTATCTATTAAAAACAAAATAGTAACGATAATTATTCATAATACGTTTATAATATAATATCGTGCTTAACTAAAATAATATATATATATATATATATATATAATTTATTATGGGCTTAATTTTCTGGAACCCGGATGAGATCAATTGTTTTCTGGCAGATTGGATTGTCTGTCGGTTTAGGAATTTTGAAATGGAAGTTGGTTTTAACCTTGGTGAAGTCTTTTTGGTTTAGGGCTTTGAAGGTTCTGGTTAGTTTTTTAGGAAACATTCTCTTTTCTCGTTTTTGCTGCAACATTTCTTTGTTTGTTTTACTTAAATTTTGGGGACTTCTAGAGATTTGCTGGGCTTGATTTTGTCTCTCAAGTCGTTCACCTCTTTATAAAAATACCAACCTCGTTTTTGGGTCTCGTTTTAATCACATTACCATCCCCTTTGCAAGTTGTTTTATGTCTGCGCAGCACAGTGGTGTTTTTAAACTCTGCTGAGCAATCTGGACATGTATAAATTCATTTTAACGACATAACGTATTAAATTTTGGTAGGACCTTTAGGCTTTGTAATAATAAACCGGGCAGACGTTGTTCACCTGTATGTGTTTTGAATTATTTTCTACCACTTTACCATCCTTGTTGGCAGCCTCTTTTTTATTCAAGATTTTGGATATGGGTCTCGTTTTAACAACATTACCGTGCCCTTTGAAAGTTGTTTTTGCAATGGAGTTTTCAAACTCTGCTTTTGACGTTGTTCACCTGTATGTGTTTTGAATTCTTTTCTACACACTTTACCATCCTTGTTGGCAAGCCTCTTTTTTATTCAAGATCTTGGATATGGGTCTAGTTTTACAACAATTACCATGCCCTTTGCCCTTTGAAAGTTGTTTTGCAATGGAGTTTTCAAACTCTGCTTTTGACGTTTTTTTGACGTTGTTCACCTGTATGGTTTTGAATTCTTTCTACACACTTTACCATCCTTGTTGGCAGCCTCTTTTTTATCAAGATTTTGGATATGGGTCTCGTTTTAACAACATTACCGTGCCCTTTGAAAGTTGTTTTGCAATGGAGTTTTCAAACTCTGCTTTTGACGTTTTTCACCTGTATGTGTTTTGAATTCTTTTCTACACACTTTACATCCTTGTTGGCAGCCTCTTTTTATTCAAGATTTTGGATATGGGTCTCGTTTTAAACAACATTACCCGTGCCCTTTGAAAGTTGTTTTTGCAATGGAGTTTTCAAACTCTGCTTTTGACGTTGTTCACCTGTATGTGTTTGAATTCTTTTCTACACACTTTACCATCCTTTTGGGGCCTCTTTTTATTTCAAGATCTTGGATATGGGTCTAGTTTTAACAACATTACCATGCCCTTTGCCCTTTGAAAGTTGTTTTTGCAATGGAGTTTTCAAACTCTGCTTTTGACGTTGTTCACCTGTATGTGTTTTGAATTCTTTTCTACACACTTTACCATCCTTGTTGGCAGCCTCTTTTTCATTGAAGATTTTGGATATGGGTCTCGTTTAACAACATTACCATGCCCTTTGCCCTTTGAAAGTTGTTTTTGCAATGGAGTTTTCAAACTCTGCTTTTGACGTTGTTCACCTGTATGTGTTTTGAATTCTTTTCTACACACTTTACCATCCTTGTTGGCAGCCTCTTTTTTATTCAAGATTTTGGATATGGGTCTCGTTTTAACAACATTACCGTGCCCTTTGAAAGTTGTTTTTGCAATGGAGTTTTCAAACTCTGCTTTTGACGTTGTTCACCTGTATGTGTTTTTGAATTCTTTTCTACACACTTTACCATCCTTGTTGGCAGCCTCTTTTTTATTCAAGATCTTGGATATGGGTCTAGTTTTAACAACATTACCATGCCCTTTGCCCTTTGAAAGTTGTTTTTGCAATGGAGTTTTCAAACTCTGCTTTTGACGTTGTTCACCTGTATGTGTTTTGAATTCTTTTCTACACACTTTACCATCCTTGTTGGCAGCCTCTTTTTTATTCAAGATTTTGGATATGGGTCTCGTTTTAACAACATTACCATGCCCTTTGCCCTTTGCCCTTTGCAAGTTGTTTTTGCAACAGAGTTTTTAAACTCTGCTTTTGACGTTGTTCACCTGTATGTGTTTTGAATTCCTTTCTACACACTTTACCAACCTTGTTGGCAGCCTCTTTTTTATTAAAGATCTTGGATATGGGTCTCGTTTTCACAACATTACCATCCCCTTTGCAAGTTATTTTATGTCTGCGCAGCGCAATGGAGTTTTTAAACTCTGCTGAGCAATCTGGACACTTGTTTGTATACATTCATTTTAACAACAGAACGTTTTAAATTTTTTGAAGGCTTTGTAATAGTTCTGTTTATTGTGATATTTATCCTTTTTGGTAAGCGTAAACTTGAATCTTGTTCAGGATGTTCTAAGTCACATTTGCTTGAAGCTATTTTGCAGGTTGGATCTGTCTGAGGGGTTCGACGCGTACACTTTTTTTTGGGTTTGTTTGTCCACATGCTGTTTGTTTTCTAGGTTTGCTGGTGTTTAAATTGTCTCTATTTCTTTCCAAATGAGCCATAACCGGGAACGTATCCCTACCATCATCATCACAAAACTCTTCTACAAAACTCTCTGTGTCATCAGCAATTTCTTCTATACTACTTCCAACACCACTGTCTCAATTGCACTGTATTATATTTATAAACGTATATTATTTAAATTCGATATAATAATTAAAGAAGAAAAATATAAATATTACATATATAATCATATTTTATATCATGACTTGTTTGGTGAAAGACACAATTAATATTTAGAGTAATATACAATATATTTAAATTATATAATAGAATCAAATTATTGTTTATGAATACAGAACTTACTTTTTGAAACTATGCGTTACGTTATTTTCATATTGTAAAGAAATGAATATTTATAATATTTTATATAAATATCCTTTCCCGATCCTTTTTCATCCTTTTTTTTATCCAAGCTGGGAGCTGAAGAAGATCTGCAAAGGATCAAGATGAATTTGAGAAAGTCTGGTCGAAGGGTATGGAGTCGAGAAATTTGATTAAAAATGACAATAAATAGCATGTATATGTGTATAGATGAGTTGCATCGAATTTAAGTCGAACTGATAATTGAATAATGTAAATTAGAAATTTTGAAATTTGAGACCAGACTTGAAAAAACATTATTATCGAAGTATAATTTGTGGAACACAATTATAATTTTCACATTCAGTCATATGTTTTTTTTTATTATTCGGCTTATAATTTGCAATTTATCTTTATATGTATGCGTGTTTGTGATCGCAATGAGAATATGACCAAAGAAATATTATCAGGACACGATTACTTCAAATCGGTGAGTTTTCAGGCTACTACTTCTATATCCTTCGGCCAGACTTCAGAAGTTCATAGATATTTTATGAAAATTTAAATTATTTAACTATAATACTAACTGATTGTATTCTGTAAATTTCTGAATGCCTGGTTGAAGGTTTAAGATAGATCAATGATACAAATAGTGAATTACAGTCATTGATTTGTCTGTGAATATATATATATATATATATATATATATATATATATATATATATATATATGATAGTTTTGTCGACGTTGATACATATTTGTAATATTTTTGCAGCCCAATCGTCGAATTAAAAAAAGATTAAATAACAAAATTATTTATTCCATTAAACGTTTCGACACTTGATGTGTGTCATCTTTTAGTAATCTAAAAAACATATTATATAAATACAAAGTTGATAATAAATATAAATATATAAAAAGGAGCAAATTATACATACCAAACCAGGAAAAACAGAAAAAATTAATTATGATGTAAAATTGATTGAACACTAATTTTGTGTAAAATAATAACTATTATATCCATCACTACACTTGCTTTGTAACCTTGATCAGTGTTCATAATGCACCGCTATGTGCTCCTTTAATTTCTCATTTGTTAATATAATAGTTATTATTATTTTAAACAATTTTAGTGTTCAATCAATTTTACATCACAATTAATTTTTTCTATATATAATTTGTCCCTTTTTATATATTTATATTTATTATCAACTTTGAATTTATATGTTTTTTGGATTACTGAATGATGACACACATCAAGTGTCGAAACGTTTAACGGAATAAATAATTTTGTTATTTAATCTTTTTTTAATTCGACGATTGGGCTGCAAAAATATTACATATATATATATATATTAGGGTGGTCCTTAATATGGACATTTTCGAATTACCTTGCTCCCAAGGGCTCAAACGGTTCCAAATTGATAAAAAACAATTCTCTGAAAGTTTTAAGCTCTTAATATTAACTTTTCGATAGTGCGCAATTAAATCAAAGTTTTGTATGGAAATAGAATGAAAAAATTTTCAAAAATTTTGCAAAGCGTCGAATTTTCAATAAAAAATGACTCGATTTTTTCACTTTTAATTCATTTGTCGCTAAGTTATACCTAAAAAAATTTTTTTAATTTTCAAAAAATTTTCATGCTATTTTCATACGAAGTTTGATTGAATCGCGCACTATCTAAAAGTTAATATTAAGAGCTGAAACTTTCAGAGAATTTTTTTTTATCAATTTGGAACCATTTGAGCCCTTGGGAGCAAGGAAATTCGAAAATGTCCTTATTAAGGACCACCCTAATATATATTTAGAGTATTTTTTATATATTTTTTTTTATTTTTCAGCACTTTGGCTTTACCTGCACTCACTAGAAGACCTTTCGGTGAAAAGTGAAGAAGCCTTAAACCTCCTCCAATCCTTGCCCGAAAGAAGTTACAATTATTTGCAAAATGCTGCAGATACAACTCTGGAAGTCCTGAGTTCCCCAGGAGCGTCATTTTTAAATTTGTGTTCATATTTTTCAAATTGTGCCTTGGATTTAGTTTCCCGGTCGTTACAATTTGCAAGTGCCATTTATAGTAGTTTAACAGAGAGTATTTTTTATATAATTTCTAGTTGCTATGATTATTTATTGTATTTTATAAGCGTAGTTGCTGGTATTTGGAGTCGAAACGATCAAGTCAAATCTAGTCATTTTGAAAATTTGGGGTCAGGAATTTCAGATCGCGATTTGTACCACAGGATAGATATGTACGTCGATAGATATTTAAAAGATAACAGTGCAGCTTATGTTAAAGATTCCTTAGTCTCTCAGCCAAATTTAAAAATAATATCCGATACCATCAAGAACGAATTTCAATTACACCAAAATTCTGTTTACGACTCGAACTTTATTACAAAAGTTGCCGGTTTGGTGCGTGAAAAATTAAATGAATATCCACAAAAATTAGTTTTAACTCCTGCACATTTCAAGGAAATCAAAAACGCTTTACAATCAGGCACTATGAAACTAGATTCAAAAAATTTTGATGTATCTATTCTCATTCAAGATCTCATTCAGCACCCCTTGTTGCAAAATCTTGTTACACAAAGTGGCCTAAATGTAGACAAAGATTATTTAGTAAACCAGCAAAAGGTTTTGTTCGATTTAGAAAAGCAAATACGTGCTAATAATTTAGAAATAGAACGCCTTAAAAATATGAACCAGGAAACTGATATTGTTAAATTACAAAATACTGTTAACATATTAAAAGAACAGCAGATAAATTTGAAGGATGACTTGGCTAAAGTTCGTGTCGAGTTTAAAGAGAAACTGAGTAGTTTGAATATCGAGTTTAAAAAATTACTTTCTGATATTCTGGGGTATGATGTTAACAATAATTCAGTGAGTTTCAAGGCTTGGATTAATGAAGCGTTTTTGGCCAAGGATGTTTTGGAGAATAAGTTGAACGAACTCAGGAATAATGTGAAAGTTGATTCGCAGAGTACGATGGATGCCAGTGCTGCTGTACTTATGAAACATATTGGAGACAGTATTAAATTGGCTATTTTGAGGTAAATTAATTAGTGGTAATAATAATAATAATAATAATAATATATATATATATAATTATTTTTTAGGTATGATGAGAAACAGCAGAAAATGCATGCAGATCTAAAGAACGATGTCACAAATAACATAAATTCCATCAGAGGCTCCGTTTCACAGTCAAGTATAGATCTAAGTGGTTTTGATGTCCAGGAAATTGTTCGAAAAGCTCTGGCCAAATATGATGCTGACAAAACCGGCCTGGTTGATTATGCTTTAGAAAGTGGAGGCGGACAGGTAACAAAAACTCTAAAATAAACTGTAGTTTTATCACTAATTGCTTTATCTTTGGTCAGGTTTTAACAACACGTTGTACAGAAACCTATAGTTCAAGGACAGCCCAGTATACCTGGTTCAACATACCATTGTGGTATTCAAGTAACTCACCGAGGACAGCTATAACGCCAGGGACTCATCCTGGACAATGCTGGGCGTTCCAGTCCTTTCCTGGATATTTAGGTTTTTATTTTAATAAATATAGGGTTATACAGTGTAGCAAGTATTGTAAAAATGTTATTATTGTCTTGTAGTTCTGCAATTGAGTTTGCCAATACAAGTAACTGGTTTTACAATGGAGCATGTTCCTAAAGAATTGGTTGCTAATGGAAATATTGATTCTGCACCGAGGAACTTTTCAGTTTGGGTAAGATAAAAAAAAACCTAATAATAATGGAATTATTCAATAACAATTTTTTGACCTGATAGTGTATCAACTGTATTATTTTTCTTCTCAGGGTTTGAAAGAAGAACAAGATCAAAATCCCTCTCTCTTCGGCTACTTCGAGTACGAGTACGACGGGCCGAGTTTACAATATTTCCAAGTCAAATCGGATGAAACAAATCAGCAGTATTTTAATATTGTTGAACTCAGAGTTGAATCTAATCATGGCAATCCAGTATTTTCATGTTTGTACAGATTTAGGGTACACGGGACACCCATAACGAAGGATGAAATGGAAAAGTTTAGGAGTCGATGATTAGATTTCAAACGGTCATGTAAATATTAAGTATAGGTAGTTTTAAGGAATTATATTATGGGTAAGATAATGGGTTATTGATTATTTGTAATCAACATTGTCTTGCTCATTGTATGTAATATAGATATTCATTATTGGAGTTAAATTCATGAATTTTAATGAAGCAAATGTCTTGCTTCGTATATAAATATATATTTTATATATATATATATATATATATATATATATATTCATGAATTTTCTCCTGTGAGAATTTTCTTCCATCTCAAATTTCACATATAATGCATTATTTTAACACAAACATAAAATGTACAAATTATATTAGTTTTTAAGCAATTTTTTTTATAATTCTATTTGTAAACAAGTCATTTATCGATTATGCACAACAATAAGTTATTTATAATCATAAACAAAGTACATTAATTTAATGCATGCTTACATGTACTTATATTTATGTGTGCACCCGTACCTCACAAAAATAACTTGACGCAAAAAGAATTTAGTTAACACTACTTTATAAGATGAAAATTGAACAAAGTGAACTTTTGAAAAACAAACATTATATAAAATTTTCTTACATATGTATTGTATCATATGTGTTCAATTAAAATAACATTAATTTAGTCTGATGAATCCAAGGTACGGGTGTATATGTTTTTGATTGTGTTCACTACTGGTTAGTTTTTATCTTTGTATAAATATGTTAATTTTATTGGGACATTCGTTAGCTTAGAGATGCATAAATTATTTTAATCATTGTACAATTTATTATTATGAATGAACAAATGAGAATTTTACTAATTTCTATAACAATTAATGAATGTCCTTTGCTTTTTTGTGTGTTTAATCATTTTATTCAATTGTCATAAAAACAAGAGTATGTAAAACTGTGCCTTAATGTATAGTTTTATAGAATCTGTGATTTAGTTGGATTTTGAAACTTATTTTGTTCATATGTACAAAGTATACATTAATTATACTTAATGATTGTGAAGTTACCATATTTTTTAAGTTACTTAAGGCTCGAAATTGCTTTAAAAGTGTATTATAAGTTATATTATTTGCTTTAAATAACATTTTATAATCTACATACTCACACAAAGTGTCTTAATACTAAACGTAGTAATAATAAAATCGACTAATATAGTAGTATGTGTAATTTTTCATTCACAATGTGTCCTTTACCATTTGAATGTAACGTTTTTTGCCGCCGAGGGCGTCGGCTCGTCCGACACGCCGCCGATGCGCTTCTAACTTCACGTCCGTCTCGAACTGTCAGACGCCGCATACGCCATTACAATTAATTTCAGTCACATATTGTTTAACCGCCGCGCCTGCATGTCGAAATTGCGGCTCACGAAACTATTACGAATAACATTTTTATTACATTTCAATTAGTAAAAATTCACAGTTCAACAAATCAATTATAAATTCATCCAAATGTGCGCGTATTTATTGAATTACCTACCATAGTAAGAACCGTGTTATCGTACATACATAACCCAAAAAAAGTGTTACAAAAAAACGTACTGTTGTGTGTTTACCGTGTGCCGTGATAGATAGTATATTTGAAATATATGTATCTCTAAATAATCTACATACGTATACATGCTTTATTCGTGTGAAATATAACAAACGGACAGTAAAGTCACTTACCCACACAAAATGGCAGCGGACGAGCTGAGAGATCGTTACGATCCTGACTTAAAGTTCCTCTCAGTCGACAGGAACAGTTTCAATGATCCGGCGACGCAGGCGGAATGGACCCAGAAGAGGCTTGTCTGGGTGCCCCACGACAGCCAGGGCTTCGTCGCCGCCGGCATCAAGGCCGAAAAGGGCGACGAAGTCGAGGTCGAAATCGCCGAAACTGGCAAAAGACAGTTGGTTAACAAGGATGACATTCAAAAGATGAATCCGCCGAAATTCGACAAAGTCGAGGATATGGCAGAATTGACTTGTCTGAACGAAGCGTCCGTTTTGCATAATATAAAGGACAGATATTATTCCGGATTGATATATGTGAGTAATTTGATTTGATGCTATTTTTGGGTCTCCAGGGTGTATTTATGGAACTTGGGCGATATTGTCAATTGAATGATTACGGGGACGGTTACACTCAAATTATATATAGAATCGCGAATTTATACACAGCCAATATCATAAATACACTTTGAATAAGGAGTTAAATCTATATATTATGAATAAAACTTTTCCTATATATAAATATATTATATACTTTTAACTTCCCGAAGTTCATATTCTCGCCAATTTGTTTCAAATCCCTCTAATTTGTCTTTTGCGTCGACGTTTTTTCGAAAACGCCTGCACTGATATCAAAATTTTTAATTTTGTTTGATGTAACCCCATGAGAATTCATATGGGTAAATTTTGAGCGAAGATCGGCCCAAGATCGGCCCAGTCATTTCTTTATAATGAAAAAGTTCAAAAATTTTCGTTGAGAAAATCCTGAAACCATATTGATAATATTTAAAGTTATTTAATGATATTTAAAGATATTAGGGATCGTTTTGATTAGTTTTTGACAGAAATCAGCTGGTCCTTTTCTTCCTAATTAACGAAATTTGTCTAAATGTACTCCCCAAAATATTATAGGCCTACGAAGAATGGCCTAGTTCCATTTTTTTTTATTATTATTATTGACTTTGTAGACAAATACATTACAAGTTCCAAAAATTTAGTACAATTAAAGTTTCTTCAATTTTTATGCAATAGAATTATTGTTTTAACTCTCCAGAAATTAATAACTAACTAGAATAATATATAACAGAAAATATTTATATCATATTTTTAAACTTTAAAATTGTTAGGAAAAATGTTATCTTACAATTTTTTATATCCTGCATTTTTAACTCATTTCAATTATTTCGTCCTGTTTTTCTTTGAATAAATCTAAGAATGTGATTTTATTAAAATCAGTATTTTTGTCTTTCAACATTATGTATAAATTATACTTTTTATTTTATAAATTATGGCAATCATGTATTTTATAAATTTCTCGTAGGGCAAATTACAGTAATTGCAAAAAGAAATCAAAAATGATTTTTTTTATATATATTCTTACGTTTCAAAACCTTCTTAACATCCTGGCATATTAGATAAAATGGTTGTGTGTGTATGTATGTGCGGATACAATTTTTCGTCGACGATTTCGGGAGCACGGATCAACCGATTTGAATGATTCAAAAACTATTAAATTCCTATTGATAGGGAGACTTGCTGATTAGTTTTTGGGAAAGGCAGGTCCAGTCGTTTCGGAGATACAAAGAAAAAATAGCAATATTTAAAACAATTATCCAACATTGAATCGATCACCAATGGATGACCTTTCGACCTTTTTTCCTTTATTTTGGTTTATTAAAACCATCAAAATTACTGAATGTTGCATAAGAACGACAGATTGTAATTCACAAATGTAAATAAAAAAAAATTAAAACAATTATTATTAATCATTGATCAATTTTGATTGATTACTCATTATTTTTGTTCCAGCAATTTACCTTAGGGCACAATGCCATACACCACTAGTTTAAAATATCTCATCATATTTTTAATAATTCTTCCTACTTTTACCTTTGAGATAAGCGAAAATTAAAAAAAAAATACATATCTTTGTCGTCTTTCTTCTCAAGTAATTTGTCCAGAAATTAATAACTAACTAGAATAACAGAAAATCTTTAAATCATATTTCTAAACACAAAAAAAATTAGGAATACTGGTTTTCCTTACATTTTTTTATCCTGTATTTGTAACACATTTTAATGATTTCGTTCTAATTTACTTAACAACTCTAATAATGTAATTTTCTTCAAATCGGTATTTTTTAAGTAAATTATACATTTTATTTTGAAAAATAATGGTAGACTTGTATATTATTAACTTCCCACAGGATAAGTTATAATAATTGCAAAAAAATCAAGCAAAAAAATTAATGTATATTTTCACGTTTCAAAGATTTCTGAACCCCCTAATACCTTAGATAAAATGAATTTGTGTATGTATATGTATGTGCGGATACAATTTTTCGTCGACGATTTCGGGAGCACGGATTAACCTATTTGAATAATTCAAAAACCATTAAATTCCTATTTATGTGAAAGTTTTGGGTAAAGCCAGTCGTCTTCAGAGATACAAATAAAAAATAGCAAAATTCAAAATAATTATTAAAATCATTGATCATTTTTATTCCACCAATTGATGCACCACTAGTTTGAAATTTTCAACGCCATTTTTTCAATAATCCTTCCTACTTTTACCTTTGAGATTTGGGTCAAAAATCCTAAAAAATACAATTCTCTGTCGTCTTTCTTCTCAAGTATATTCATCTGTCAACATAGTGTATAAAATCTAAATTTTATTTTAAGAAATTACTCCATTGTATAAATATAAACATTGTATAAATACAATTTCTATCCATCTTTCTCTACTAAATGCGATTTATTTCTAGTCCACAAACTATGACGCAAATTCCTGCAAGTTATTCAAAACTCAATTCGATTTTGTCAATATTATTAAATTCACTCATTAATGTTTTGTTAAACAAGTTTTGATAATTTCATAACGATTTCCCACAAGAGTAAAAATTTCGAATATTTATAAACAAAAATTGTAAGGAATTTCTGTTTGTTTATTATTTTTGAATCAATCATTCTTGTTTGTTGTAGTAATTGAATTCTTTCAGTTGGATATTTGTAAATTAAAAAATTATATAAATTTTGTTGTAGGATTTTCTTGCAAAGAAACATGTACATTTTTATTTAAACACCTGCTTAAAGTTTTTTTTGAAGTTACTGCATACAAAGACATCCTGTGTATATTTTTGTATCATAAGTCAATATTTTTTTTATTTACCAAAAGTTGCACCTTGTAGTAACTTAATTTATAATTTAAATCTAAAAATTTATAAAAAAAACTCTTCATATTAATTCTTGATATGAATTCAAATTGTGAAACATAATTTAAAATTTGTTTGACTTTCATTTCCTTTTTTGCATTTTTAGCTTACCAAAAAAATTATATCCAAAATATATAATTACAAAATTATATATACATAATTAAAAAAAAATCTTAATAACAAACTGAATTTAAAAAAAAATACTATTTCAAAATGTTAAGTTTTGGAATATAATATAAAGTTATAGTCGAATTGTCTTAAAAGTTGATTCCAAAAATTTTATTATATTATCTTTAATTAATGTTAGAAAAAGTTATTACTTTGAAGATAAAATTGCTATATTTATTTATTAAAAAACGATTTTTACACAAGGCTTTAATTTCAAATTGTTTTTAACAAAAAAAATTCAGAAAATTCAATTTTTTTGTCCAAATAAAAGCATTTTCCACTTTTCTATTATTTACTCCTAAAAATGCCTTCAATTCAAATTCTTAAAAATGTATAAACAATTATTTTGATAAAAAATTAAGTTATAGGGTATAATAGAAATTAAAAAGTGTTATATTTTAAAATGCTATAAGATTATGATGTTTCAAAATTTAGGAATTTAAAATGTAGGATACCTATATTATAAATAAATTTAAAAAAATAAATATCTTTTTAATATTTGGTATTTGATAAATTTCAGGCACTATAAAATTACTTAAAAAACTTTCAATTTTCAATCGCCTTTAACAAAAAAATAACAGATAATTCATTTTTTTGACTCAAATAAAAGCATTTTTCAGTTTTCTATAATTTATTAAAATTGCCTTCAAATTCCTATAAATTTATAAGCAATTATAAAAAAACAAGTTATAGGGTTATATTATAAATTAAAAAAAAAATTCATTCATTAAATATTATAGAGTTATTGACAAAACTAACTAGGGCTAAATTGAAAAAACATAAAAAATAAATGAATAATCATAGAAAGAAATAAAAATATGAATGTTTTTAAAATGCTATATTATTATACCTATAGATTACGAAATTTCAAAATTAAGGAATTCAGGGTAACTATATTATAAGTTAACAAATGAATAATTTCTTTTTAATTTTCTAAATATAATTTTATAAATTTTGATCAAATCTGTAAATTAAACTAAATTTATACAATCTAATGTGGGATAAAAAGAAAATCATTCAGAAGAATATATATATATATATATATATATATATATAAAACATTTTGTATATAAAAACATATAGTATAGTCATTTTTTTTAATATTATGCTAAATAAAATATAAAAAAATATTATGTATTTGCTGAAAATCTTGGCTTTATAAATCCCTACTTCCTCATTTTGATTTTGCTTGGATCATATATTTTTTTAGGAATTCACACTTAATTTTTAGGGACTTTAATTTCTTATTTTTCTCAAAGGACAATAAACCTTACTGTTTTGGTTTGCTATTATATAATAAAAAAATCTAGATCAAGGGAAAGTCTGGACTTTTTCTAATTGTAAGTCCTTAGTTACTTTGAATTTGCTTAAATTAATTTTAGGCTGCTATAACATTCATAAAAACAACTTTGAAGTCCAAAGATTTTAATTTCTTATTGTCCACAAAAAGAGTCACCAAACTCTTCAAATTTTGATCAGAAGCTTCAGCTTTGTTTTGTTTGCTAATCTATAATGAAACAAATCTGGATCAAGGAAAAATCTGGACTTTTTTCTAAATCCTTAGTTATTTTGTATTTGTTTAAATTAATTTTAGACTACAACACGTTTTTATAAAAGACTTTTGCTTCCAAAAATTTTATTTATGCACCTATTGTCATCAAAAATAGTCACCAAAACACATTTTTGGATCAGGATCTCCAGCTTTATTTTTGTTTGCTATTCTATAATATAAAAAAAATCTGGGTCAAGGAAAAACTGGCATTTTTTCTAAATACTTACTTATCTTGTATTTGTTTAAATCAATTTTAGACAACAGTAAGTTTTTATAAAAGACTTTTGCTTCCAAAGATTTTATTTCCTCATTTTCCTCAAAAAGAGTCACCAAACTTATAATTTTGATTAGAAGCTTCAGCTTTGTTTTTGTTTGCTATTCTATAATCCAAAAAACCTAGATCAAGGAAAAACCTGGCTTTTTTTTAAATCCTTACCTATTTTGTATTTGTTTAAATCATTTCTGGACTTCAGCACATTTTTATAAAAGAC